GAGAAGGCAGAATGTGGGGAAATAAAACATTTGAATCATTAAACAGATTTTTAAAATACTTTTAGAAACTTGTCAATGTGTCTTGGCATCACTATTTAAGTAACGCGAATATTGACAATATTTTTAATCTCACTTACGTGATCATTTATTATGAAGTTTTGCCTTTCGGCTTAAAAGTGTACTTGCAAAGAGCAGACAGATTTAGGACTGAGGTGGTGATTTCATTTCAGATCTTCTATGGACTTGTGGTGGAAAATTAAGCTTGTGACGTAACCACGATCCTTGCTGAAATTGTTCATTTTATGAACTGGAATAAAAATGCTTGTTACCAAACATTAAATATGAGGCATTTTGAACTCATTGGATGAAATTCTTAATATGAATTTACTCAGCCTTGTAAATAAATTTAAAAAATTAATCGACCTGCACAAATGTGTTGCCAACCTCCCTCTTCCATGGTGCTTAACTTCTAGTAAAATGAAGAAAATTAGCATTTCTTCCTACTTGTCTCACAGATATTAATGCTTATGAGGGTCGAGTAGATCAATGTCTATTACCTTACATGGATGTATTATAATCCACTGAAGTGCTGTGAGGAAAAACAATTCACATTAGGATTGAATATAGGTTTACAATCCCTTCAGGTCTGAATTTGGCCTTAAATTCATTACCTTAAAGTAATGAATAATGAAGATTTAGATTTAGAGAATAGTGTTTCTATGCCAGGAATGTTTTTCTCTTAAGGGAAATTCTTAGAGAAAATTACCTGGGTTGGGGGCGGGAAAACCCCTCAAATCTGCAAATTGGGTTCCTGGCTTTTGGGTTATATGGACACATTTGGTTATCTGACTTTTTAACTTTGAAGCTAGTTAGAAACAGAAGCATGAAAGGACAGACTGAACACAGGCTTGAGGGTACCAGGCTTCTTCTCATCGCTGGTTAAATTACTGAGAGTAAGAAGTAAAGAATGAGGTCACAGAAAGAGAAAGGAGGAGAGAGCGTTGTGTGTGGAGTAGGGTGAGGTAGGGCTGGTGAATTAAGTCCTCTGCAAGGCCATCAGAGAAACTGGGTTCAGTAGGTGAGAAGATCCAGGAATATTCCTCAGGAAGCTGTGTTGTCCCTGAAGCCCCTATCCTGGTTTGGCTTTCTTGAAGCATTTTCCCTCCCTTTGGGACTGATCATGACATGAGGCTCAAAAGTGGAGTGCTGGCAGCTCTCTCTTGGGTCACTCCACCCTCTTTTCTGTATGCTGTCCCCTCTCCATAAATAGTCCACATTTAGCAGCAGAGATGTAGTTTAATAGATCTTAAACCTAAAGTAAAATTGTAAGACATTTCTAGACAATGCTCACTCTGTTGCCATCTTAGTCAGTTTAGAAAAAAAATGTTTTTATGTGGCAGAGGCAGAAATAGAAACTTTTAGGGAAAAAGTTAGACTTTTAAATAAATAGGCACGACAGAGCAAACTATAGCAGGAAGAAGAATGCAAAGTGTTTTGGGGGAATGTAATCCTGAAAGCTGAATGCTGCCCTTTTGATTTCCTGAAAAATACGAAATATGTAAATAATAATGTACTTAGTGGAAACCGTGGAAATGGAATGCAATGAAAATATTAAAACTGTATGACAGTAGCTATAAAAAGAACAGAAAGACTAGAAGAGAATTCATAGTGGGTTCAAAAATAGTAGGCTGAGGCTAAACCAGAATTGTGCTCTGTGTAACTGTTAGAGCAAACAAATCAAGTCGCTGGGCCCAGCAGTCCCAGCTATTCAGGAAACTGAGGTGGGAGGATCACTTAAACCCAGAAGGTCGAGCTCAGCCTAGACAACGTTAGGCAACATAGTGAGACTTCATCTTAAAAGAAAAAAAAAAAAGTCAAAAAAACAATGACAAGGATTGATTAGAGTGGGGCCATTTGTGCCATATTAGAAACTTGCGCATATGAGAAACTAACATCTTTTGTCAGAGGGCAGCTGTAGTGTAACTAAATGTTTATATAACTAATGATGACAATGAAAATATCAAATATTAAACTTAAATGCAATGTTTATTTTTTTTAAAAAAATAATTTTTAACAGGCGCATACTGTAGAATTTGAAATTGTTAATTTTTGACCATGCCATTTCTCTGTTGAGAAAAAAATTTCGATCTAAGGAGCGTGGCTGAGAATTGGGCTGGATATTAAAAGTTAAATATATGCAAAATGAAATTAAAGCCAAACTGATATTTTCATTTATGTTGAGTAGGACGCTTTTTCTGTCTTGAAAGGATATATGTGTTGCTTCACTAAAGAGAAAGTAGATAATTTAAAAATGGTTTTTACTTTCATTAGTCAGGCATCTGGAGAAAGTAAACACCAGATCCTATCATATCCTCATTAATGACTTAAAATGGTGCAACAATCTATGTTTCACAAATTCAACGGCTCGGGCCCAGTTCTTAAATCTGAATGAGTGGAGCAGGCTGAGTGTGAGACACTAGTGATGAATGTTAAGACATGGCTTGCTTGCCCTAGACATTCAAATTCAACTTACAAACAAACAACAACAAAAATCTAGCTAAACAAATACCTCCAGAGGCGCCTGGGATTTACAACATGATAGAAAATCATCTGTTTTTCATGATCTAATACTTAAGACTAGCTCTTCTTTGAGACTATTCAAGACGCCCGCTAAACAGTCCCTGCTTAACATGTAACCTGCAGGAGTCTTAAGCCAGAGGAATGTCTCAGAAAGTGAAAAACGATTACCTCCCTTTTCGAAAAATTCAATTTTGAAAAGAAGCAAATTGGCGGTAGGTGTGGGAGTCACCATAAAACGAATTAAGTTGCTGCTGATTAGACTGCATGGTTAAAACATTCTTTTCCTATTTCCAAAGTGGTTAATCAGCCAAGAAAGTTGTAAACACATTCAACAGAAAGGCTTTCTTGTCTGTAAACTGAAACTGGGGCTTGCTTGTAAAGGTTCATGCTGGCTTTCCACTTTAATTGATGTTTAACTTTGTTGCAAAGATCTTTACATTAGGTCTTCAAAGAAATTAGATAGCTATTGAAATATTATTATATGTTTATAACAACTATAGTTGAGATAAGTTAGACTAACTCATTTTCTTAATATTACACCACATATTTTCAAGTCTTTTGATAAGTGTTAGCAAAAGACAAGATGATCTGCAGAGGAAAAGGGTGGAGCGTTCTTTTCTATTAAAACAACAATCTGTAGACTAGGGAGGCACAGCTTTTAGTATAAGTGAAAGTGTGTTTTCTGAAGAACAAAGGGAGGGTCTAGCTTAAATAGGGAAAATTCCCCCCTCAGCTCTCAATCAGGCCTGTTTATACAAATGAAGGATTCAAACTTGCTTAGTTCCAATTGGTCAAAATAGTAGAGTGCTGATTGGGTGTTTTCTATGCCCCAAACCAGAACTCTGTGACATTTTTTATTGGGTGTTTTCTATGCCCCACGCCAGAACTCTTGCCAAACTTTTCTTTCAAAGGGCTGGTGAGGGGCAGTTTCCAGCTCCAGTTTTTCTTGTGTCTGGTTACAGGAACTGTTCTGGCTCAGGGTATAAAGCAAATGTTTGTGGAGCTGCTTTTTCTAAGAATGTGGCTGCTCTTTCTCACTTTAGCAAGGCCACTTACTTCTGTTTTTAAATTTAATCTTCCCTATTAACCACAGGGACATCTATCTCCCCTGGAGAGCTTGAGTCTTATTTTAACAGTTTTCTTTCACATAGATTAAAAGTATTTTTGAAGTTATGCCATGCCAAAGAAGCATGAACGGTTGAAAAGTTGATGTCTTGATTCAAAGGGAAACACAGAATGCGTACATACTTTATGTGACTGAAACGAGACGTGATGTTCTTCTATTTATTGCCTCATTTTCTCACAACTGTCCAAGCCATTGGTATTCTTCAGTGTTTCATAGTTGAGGCCACTGTATCTCAGAAATGTTCTAGATTTTTGAGAAATTTATTAAATAAGACACTTTAATCAATATTAATTATAAAACCTTTAGTTTGTTTTAGATATTTGTTTTATTCTTGTAAAGCTACTGTCATTTGTTTTGCATGCCAGGCAACCCTTATTTTAAGAAATTATAGCCTATATCATCTTATGTTCCCCAGAGCTTGCACTTCGCTGTGTGGTTTACCATGGCCCACTGTAGGTGTTGGCATATCATCTTAAGACATCTAGGAATATGCTTTCAGGAAGAAATGGAGAAAGTTTCTTCTTTCTTTCTTTCTTTCTTTTTGTGAGATGAAGTCTTGCTCTTGTCACCCAGCCTGGAGTGCAGTGGTACAGTCTCGGCCCACTGCAACCTCTGCCTCCTGGATTCAAGTGATTCTCCTGCCTCAGCCTCTTGAATAGCTGGGATTACAGGCGCCTGCCACCACACCCAGCTAATTTTTGTATTTTTAGTAGAGACGGGGTTTCACCATGTTGGTCAGGCTGGTCTCAAACTCCTGACCTCAGGTGATCTGCCCGCCTCAGCCTCCCAAAGTGCTGGGATTATAGGCATGAGCCATCATGCCCGGACTCTTCTTTAGTTTTTAATAAACATTTTAGGAAGAACGGAATTATACCCTACAAAGCATTCTTTAAATTTATGGGAACACGTAATAAAAAAAAAAAAAAACCAAAATGTTACACCTGTTTAGAGACTCAACATTCCTTTAAATATTGTCAGAGTCATTAGAGTTCAAATTAAACCTATGATAAAAATGCTTTTGAAGCAACAGCAGCAAGCAGACCTTGATTCTGGCCAGTGCTAGTCATGCTTCTGTGAGCATCAGAATCAAAGAGGAGTGTTACAAGGCAGATTCCAGGTCTCTAGCATCAATGTCCTGTCAGGCAAGACCATGTGGAGTCAAGGATTTTCATTTTTAACAGTTTCCAGGGGGACATTGATGCTGCTGATCCGTGGACCATGTTTTGAGTAGCACTGATTTAGGGGTGACCTGGGAAGTATAGTATGTGTTAACAATTTAAATTATGTTTTTCAGAAAAATAATTTCAACTGTACCAGAAGAACTCAGTGCCCAGAAACCAATATCAGTTCTATACAGATACAAGGTGATGCTGATTATTTCATCAACCATCTTGGAGTTCCCAGCGTGCAGTTTGCTTATGAGGACATCAAAACATTAGAGGTGATTGTTTCTAAAAATGCAAAATACACACACACAATATAGCAGACCTACAGAATTTGATTTTATTCTGGCTATTCAATTTTCATAGCAAATAGGTCACTATAGAAAAGCGGCTTCATTTAGAAAGTTATTCTTGTTTCTCAGAGGCTTTGTAATAGTATTTGAAAACATCAGCTCTTTTCAATAGTGTTGAATTCGATTTAAAAAGATTTCTATTGTCACTCACATTTTCACACGGTGCTCTGCAACAAGAAATGTGCAGTAGTTGGATTAACATCAAAACATAATTGTAATCTCCAGTATTCACAGAAACAGATGACATGTGCAATAGATTCTCCTCTCCTTGCCCAAAGGAAAATGCATTTCATGTTCTGTATGTTAATATGAGTCTGGTGGATTAGCTACTCAAAGTTTGTCAATGGTTTGCATGCTTAAAAAAGATAGTCCTTTTTTGTGAAGATAGAAGCTCTTTTTCCCTAAAGAATATCACAAAAGCATGATTCTCCTTAATTAAGTCTTTGTTCATCCATCTTTTGGGCTTCAATCCTTTTAATCTTTCTCAGAATTATGTCTCAGGAAACTGTTTCTCTGTGGATCTAAACCTGTTGGGACATTTTACCTTCATTTATAAATTATTTATGCATTATTGGGAGCAATTTGAAAACCTCTAGGGTGACCTTCGTGAGGTAATTATTACATTAACAAAATAATGGCTAGAAAGCAGAGTAAAACATGCCTTGCTCTTCAAATATAGATCTTCCTAAAAAGGGGTGCTTAAATTATGTTTGTATAGGCTCAACTTCAGCTATGCAAGGTAATGTTTAATAGCTTTGAGTGATATTTAGCTTTATGTTTCTCTGCAACCACCCAGAAAATGTTAGAATTCTTATTTAGTATGTGTCTAATTCACCTTGGTTTAGTTTTTAAGCCAAGAATTTAGAGAGGCCAGAATAGTATAGCCTTGGAAATGAGACGGAAGCCCTGACTCTGACACTTACTAGACAAATTATTTAACATATTTCAGAATGATTTCACAAATGAAGTGCTTTGGTACATTTGTGGAGTCTACTTTATAGAGCTGTGGTGAGGATTAAATGAGACTATGCATGTAGAGGGCTTTAGCTGACCAGATTATAAGGCCCCATCATTGTAGTGATTGCAATTAGTATTGTCTGATTGTAAGTACAACATATTAGTGGGATAATTTCTAAGCTGTTTAGATACAAACACATCAGTTGAAGGGAGGAGTTTGTTAACTGTTGAGAAAAACAAGTTGATCAGGCAACGAGGTAGAATTTGGTGGGAATCAGCCGGAGGATCTGAGGTGTTAATAGGGAGAAGATTTTGAAATGGGAACCAGTGAAGGTCTAATCTAAGAGCTGCATTATTCTAAGGCTAAAGTCTATCTAACAGAACTGGTACAGTCTGAAGGAGCCAGTCAGTTTTTCAAATTATGCCCAGAATAACTACCACCATAAAAATTATTTTTATTATTTGTCTCCAAAAAAGTAATTAAAATAGAGTCTCCTATGCTTTATAACAAATGACCTTGTGGATATTGCTTTAGTGGAAGAATTTTTAAAATGGATTTGTTCCTTATAAAATATGAATGCTTGAGGTGAGATAATTTTGTATGAACTATCTGAGGAACAGAGTAACCTTTCCTTTCTATGTTAACCTATAATAGATGTTGGTATACAGCTATTAAGGGGAATCATAAATATTAAAAAAGGCTTTATCAATGATGTAAAAAATATTTATCCTGTGTCAACTCATAAAGCAGGTAAGGAAATTAGAGCTTTTTTTTTATGAACTTGCAATTACAAATATATATAGAAAACAGCTTGGTGGATTTGAAATTAGGAGCCCTGAAATTTTAAATCCCCGCACGTTAATAGTCCAATTACATTGATTTCTGGACCTCCGCTTTTTAAAATCTGTATCTTATTAAAAACAATAAGGCCAGGTGAGATGGTTCATGCCTGTAGTCCCAGCACTTTAGAAAGCTGAGACAGGCAGATTGCTTGAGCTCAGAAGTTTGATACCAGCCCGTGCAACACAGTGAAACTTTGTTTCAACAAAATAATACAAAAATTAGGTGGCCATATTTGCAGGCACCTAGTGTCCCAGCTACTAGGGGGATTGAAGGGGCTGTGATGGGAGTGTCACTAGAACCCTGGAGGCGGAGGTTGCAGTGAGCCAAGATCACACCACTGCACTCCAGCCAGGGTGACAGAAGGGGACACTGTCTCAAACAAAGCGAACACCAAAAAACCATAATATCTACCACTTATTGCATATTTACCACTCATCGAGTACTTGCCATGCTATGTATTTTATACCTCTTATATCATTTATGATTAAAACATCTCCATAAATTAGCTTTTATTATTAATTCTATTCACTCTGAGAATGAAATGGAATTTAAAGGCCACTTACCCAAGGTCATAAAGATAATGAGCAAGACAGATGTTGATCTAAGATATGTTTGACAGTAAGTCTATGTTCTCAGCTATTATACCAAAGATGGCAAATTGGAAGCCCAAGGACAAGAGATAGCCTATCAATGTATTTTGTTATTGAAAAATCGAATTTCTGCAAACATTGTATAATTTTTCTCCATGGAAACAGTCAACTAAATGGACACTGCTCACTAGCTTGCCATGTTGTTCATCCCAGAGTTTAGAAGAATATTTTCTTCAACACCTGTTTCTATCAAAGATCAGAAGATGAATACTCAACTTAGGGTCACATGTTTCACCAGACTTGTGTCGCTTACAGTATCTGCGTGGACCCTATAGGGATAGAGCTCATTTAGTAAAAAAAGCTACAGTGAGTAATTTTATGGCTGCTTCTACCTTCAAAGTGGTATATTGTAAGAGCAATAATTTTATGATTATATCCATGGTTTTAAATAAATTATCTATTTGAAGCTGATTTGGGTGATTGTAATACAAACCTTAGAATTACTATCAATATATATGTTCTTTGTCCAGTAAGATTGATCATGGATCTGTTATATTCAATTTCAAAAACTGAATCATGATAATACAGGAAAAATTGAACTGTAGGAAAATAAACCAATGCAACAGAGATCACTTTTTATATGGACATGTCAATAAAACATGACATTTTGTGATATCTGTCCCCAATATGTCAAGTTCTTCCACATTCCCACCATTGGCTTTTACCTGTAGTTTCTCTGGATGCAAATATATTGCATAAAATTACTTAAAGCCCCTTCGATCTTAGGTTTTCTTGGCATCTATACTCTAATTTTCTAATAATTAAATTTTACAAATGCGTCACAATCTATGGATTTGCCAAATGTTAGAATGATTCCTTCTCATAAACCTGTGCCCTGTTAATTGAAACATCTCTTGTTGTAAGCTTCATTTAAATAAGGTTTTAGATATATAAACACCATTGCACCTGTTGGGAGATGCATTCTGTACAGATTAAATACAATGCAGAGATTGTTGAAGAGGAAAAGAAAAGACAGATGCTTTCTGATTAAGAGTGCAATATATATGACAGTCTGGTGGTCCAATGAACATTTTCTCTGTCACTTAACAGCTGTTTTACATTTTTGTTTTACATCAGTATATGTATTCTCTACAGGGCATGCCAGAGGGTCTATCTTAGCATATGAAAAGATCAATCCATACCCTAGCAAGCTTCACATCACAAATTGAAACTGATTCCTCACTCTGTTTAACCTCATATGTTTTTTCTCTTCTGCTTGAAATATTCTATTTTAAACCCAATTTACCTCTATAATAGAGCATTTAACATTTAAATTTATTATTTGTTAATAATAAATATTATTTTTATCTCATTACTTGAGATAAAAGAGTATTATAGCTTTTATACAGCAGAAGTCATGGCCAAATTGTTTCAATATCATTTAATAATCCAGCGACAGAAATTCAAGTAGCATAGGTATTTTGAAATTCTTACTAATTTTTTAAAAGCTAGATAACTTTGATACCAATTCTTAAACCAGTATACAGCAGCATGTAATTATGCCTGTGTGTGTGTGTGTGTGTGCGTGTGCGTGTGTGTGTGTGTG